TTTAAATGAAAAATCAAACTCTAATAAGGTATTTAAACTTTTAACATTTTTTTTTGTTCCGACAACTGATAATAGATAAACATCTTAAACCTTATGTCGAACATCAGGTAACCGGCGCGTTGATTTGGTCACTACCCCGCACGCACTGCCCCTACGCCCCCCACTACCCACTCTAACATCGCCCTCCTACCTCTCAAAACCATGTAAAATACAGTATTTTTCAATTTGAAAATGTTTAAAATATTTGCACGTGTTTTTTATTCATAACCTTCATTTCCTACAAAAAATAAAGAAATTGATTACATAATATTATTTAGTAAAGGTATGCAACTCGCCGCTCAATTTTCAGCACTCATCTAATATGAACTCCATAACTTCAACATTTTTTCACCAATTTTCAAATATTTTTGGTACAAATGGTAGGGAATTGATTACTCTTAAAGGAATTAAAGTTGTCATTACAAATCATTTCAAGTTATAAGAAGATATGTAATCTCGAAGTCACCGCAAGTGTAACTCGACAGTGATCTGACCGCTGGGTTTTCTTCAAAATTACCCGACTAAACGGCAAGTTTATTCGAAATGAATGCATATTTCATTGTATTGCGCATATAAATATGATCAAATGATATTATTATTTGTAATAACTGTTCAATCAAAAACAGCTTATAAAACTATAACAAGACCTTTTTTCCTATATGTTAAATTCCAATTATAATGGCAAGTAATAGTTCTTACAGAGGTGCTCTCCCCTTCATTTTTTGTAACGGAGTATTTTCATTGGGTCTTAAGGTTCAATACGACCAATGAAAAGTACTCCATCACGAATGCTTCCGTTTTATACATGTGTACTTTCATTTTGGATTGGAGAATTTTGCATATCGGAAAAAAGGTTTGTTATAGTTTTATTAGCTGTTTTTGATTGGGAACAGTTATTAACAAATAATAAATATAATTTGATCATATTTATATGCGCAATACAATGAAAATATGCATTCAGTTTCGAATAAACTGCCGTTTAGTCGGGTAATTTTGAAGAAAACCCAGCGGTCAGATCACTGTCGAAGTTACACTTGCGGTGACTTCGAGATTACATTCTTTCTTAAACTTTGCAATGATTGTAATGACAACTTGAATTCCTTTAGAGTAATCAATTCCCTACCATTTGGTACCAAATATTTGAAAATTGGTGAAAAAATGTTGAAGTTATGGAGTTCATATTTAAGGATGAGTGCTGAAAATTGAGCGGCGAGTTGGTCATACCTTTACTAAATATATATGTATCAATTTTTTTTTTTTTGTAGGAAATGAAGGTTATTGAATAAAAAGCATAAACCAAGTATTTAAAACATGTTTCAAATGAAAAATACTGGTATTTACATGGTTTTTGAGAGGTAGGAGGGTGAGAGTGGGTGTGGGGGGGGAGGGGGGTGCGGGGGTGTGACCAATCAACGCGCCGATTACCTATGATGTCGACCAAAAAACGGTCGCAAAAATGGGTCAGTCTATTTTACCCCAAGACTACCCCAAGACACCCCAAGACTACTCCCAAGTAATATCCAAGACTACCCCAAAACACCCAAGACTATCCCAAGACACCCAAAAACTACCCCAAGACATCCCAAGAATCTTCTTAATGGAAATTAACTTATAAATTGGAAAAATGACATGCAGGGAAGATGAAATACAAATAAATATTATAAAACAGAATATGATCGATTTATTAATCAAAAATGTGTCACTCATAAAATGACATTGTCATATAAATAACCTTACACTACATCAAAATCCGACACCAGGGTTCTCGGGGACGCTTATTTCAGCGTCCCGGTACGCATGTTTATTACAGCTGGACGCAAATATTTCAGAGCAAGGATTCCACGTACGCTTAATTTTGCCTGGGGACGCATAAACATTACCGATTGTTTACAAAACCACAAATACACAAATGCGTCCGGGGCTGGGCGTGTTAGTCTAATAGGTAGGCCGTCGCTATGCACATCGACCCGTAAAGCGATTTAGCCAATCAGCGAAAAACGCCTTCAGATTTTTAAAAGGGCTGTACAGTAAATGTTTTTCCAGATATAACACGGGGTAAATAATTTTTTATAGATAACAGTTGTTTGGGAAATTTAGCAATTTTTACCGGGACAAAAGGAAAAAAATTATCGATTTTTAAACCCCAAGTTTTAAAGACTTTTTTTCTTAAAATTACAAATGATTTAAATTTTTTTAAAATTTTGGGTGGGAAACTTTTTGGGCTTTTTTTCTGGGCCAATTTTGCTTTGTTTTTTTTTTTTTCAAAAACTTTCTTAAAAGTTTTAAGAGTTTAAGAAAATTGTGCGAAATGCCAGGACAAAAAACCAAAAATACACATACCCTTTTCTTTTGATATTTGACAAACCCAAAATTAACCCAAACACCCGGGATTTCACGTTCGCCAGAAACCCTAAAATTTTCGCACAAAAATTCTCGTTTTACCAAAGCCAAACATGCGAATGAAATTGTTCCCCCTTTTAATTATTTAATCAACATTAAATCTTTAAATATCGATCTTCAATTTGCCCCCTTTTGGAAAGATATTTGCTAAAATAATTGTCGATCGGGTGAATCTCTTACAACACTGTGTGAAGCTGTACACGATTTTCCTATTCATTTCCGCTAAACGCTGCCTATATACATTTTACGTTTTTTTTTTTACAAATAATAAAACTTTTTGTCTTTAGAGTTGACTTATTTAAACCAGAATAAAATTTGATTTGGTATAAAAGTGGAAAAAAAAAAAAACGATTTCCATGTGTTGATTGCATTATAATTAATATAATTTCATAAAATAAATATTAAACAACAAAACAACTAAACTTTATACTATGTAGTTCAGAGTTTCTTTTGAATAGCTATAAACTTCTCTTGAAGATTCAAAATATCAGCAATGCTATTGTGAGCATTGAATGACTAATCTGTAAACATATAAATTGCGACGCGCTTTTGGACTCCAACTTTTTCAGGGTTGGGAGTCCATGGACTCCATGTTTGAAAGTCCTAGTGAGAACCCTGGACACCCTTGGCATTATTTCGATGTTGAAAGCTATTTTGTGCATAATGAATATCTTAAAATTAACATATATAAGTAAAAACGTTAACAACAATGCCGGATATAGATTATTTTGTTTAACTAATTTATAGAGACCTGATATAAATTTCTACTTAATATAGAAAGGAAATACAGTTTTTTATTTATCATTCCATTCAGAGTTATAATCAGTGTCATTAAGTTGATAATTTGTTGACACTCCCTGAGAAGGGAGATAATTCTATATGTACTTGTGAATCGCATAGCTACATATCAGTTAAACAATGTGTCTTGGGGTAGTCTTTGGGTGTCTTGGGGTATTTTTGGTGTGTCTTGGTTTAGTCTTGGGGTGTCTTGGGGTAAATAAACCGACCATGCAAAAATTGTCCATAAAAATCAACTCGAATAAAAGAATATTTTAAATATTGTTCTTATTTGTGCCTTTTTTTAAAGTTCTGTAAGAGGTGATCCGGGCTTATTTTTTAGAACTGATTTGCAAAAAAACAAAGACATAATTATTAAAGAAAAGAAAACAAATTAAAATGAATCTAATTCAAATGTTGCCAGTGTTGTTTGATAATAATGTTTAGTTGTTTAATCAGCGGACCATGCAATTAGTAGAAAACATTTCCCTTTGTGGATGAAGAATATAAACTTACATAGTCCCCCCTCAATGTAGCCAGGAAAAATATAGTGTCATCAGGTGCTAAGACAATGTACATTGACAATTGTGACATACCGGTACCTTTGATCTTATGTCAGGGCAGGAGTTCTTATGTCACGCTTAAGATGTTTGTATTGATTAATGATATGCACAATGTTTTAGCACTGACCAACTGAAGACCAATCAAAATGAAGTAACTCAATGGTTAGACACTCCAGCAGCCAATCGTGTTCGATAAGCTCCATCTCATAGACTTTTTATACGCCCGTTTAAAAAAAGGGTTGTTTTATAGATTCCCCTGGCGGCGGCATCTGATTTTCAACTGGAGCATATCTCCCACATCTATGAAGAAATTTTAATGAAACTTCATAGAAATGTTAACCACTATGAGAAGCCGTGTCATGCGCATGTACCAGGCCTCTAGGTCAAAGTTCACAGAGGTCATAGAAAAATGCTTGTTTGGAGCAAAACTTCTACATGCATAGAGGGATTTCAATATAACTTGGCACAAATGTTCGCTATTGTGCATATAGGCATAGTGTCGCGGTGCAAATTTAACATAAAGTGCGCAATTTATATAAAACATAAGCTTTGTCTCCGGTTTTCCATGGTAAACAAACAGATTTTAAGAATTCAAGCTTCCTATTACATCAGTAATTTTCCGCTTGTCCTACAGGATATCAGCATTTTGTACTCTTCCTGCATGGATCTCTACTTGTCTACTGCTGACAACTAAAATTTTCATTCATGTGAATTTTTTTTTTTTTTTTAGAATAAAATACCTGAGCGGTGTCACGACAAAACCAACATAATGGGTTTGCGACCAGCATGGATCCAGACCAGCCTGCGCATCCGCGCAGTCTGATAAAGATCCATGCTGTTCGCTATAAGTTTCTCTGCTTGTTATAGGGTCTGTAAGCGAACAGCATGGATCCTGATTAGACTGCGTGGATGCGCAGGCTGGTCTGGATCCATGCTGGTCGCAAACCCATTATGTTGGTTTTGTCATGACACGGCTAACCTAAAACAATAATGAATATGCAAACTTGTGTTCTATTGAAAATAGATTTTGTTGAATTTCATGAAAACTTTATCAATTACAGTAGATATATTAATTTAATATTTGGCGTTTTATAGTCGGAAGTTTTTTTCCCTCTGATTTTAAAAAATTAATGTATGTGAGAAAATATGAAGAAAAATAAACTTTAACATTATTGACTCATTATTATTGAGTCAGTTTCTCAGAAGATATTATGTTCACTTACAGAAGTAAGACATGACATCATTAGAAGAGGAAGAAGTATGGTGTGAAGTGAGTGATGACGAGATGTATAATCCAGGTAAAATGAAAAAAGGAACATGGGAACCTACTGCAGAAGATATCCTGAAGGTGTTTGAAGAAATCAAATCCAAAAAGGTAATACCACTGTTTGTAAAGAAATGACGCGTCAATTTGTGAAGAAATGATTAATCAAATCCTAAAATTAATACCAAATATTGTGAAGAAATCAAATCCAAAAAGGTAATACCACTGTTTGTAAAGAAATGACGCGTCAATTTGTGAAGAAATAATTAATCAAATCCTAAAATTAATACCAAAGATTGTGAAGAAATCAAATCCAAAAAGGTAATACCACTGTTTGTAAAGAAATGACGCGTCAATTTGTGAAGAAATAATTAATCAAATCCTAAAATTAATACCAAAGATTGTGAAGAAATCAAATCCAAAAAGGTAATACCACAATTTGTGAAGAAATCAAATCCAAAAAGGTATTACTACAATTTGTGACTGAAGTTATTATAAACTTATTTCTTACATGAAGATCTGATTTTCACCATATAATATTTGTTTCGCCTTCATTGTGTTTTGGATTTCCTGAAAAAGCTAATTTTAGCAATGCAATCAAACTGTCCTTTACAGATAGGCATTATAAGACGAAATACCAATGTACCGTTGTCCATGGGAAGTAAAACAAATTGCTGATTTTTGTTAGAAAAACAATTTTTGAAGTTATGTGAAACAAGTAAACTGGAAAAAATAGACTCAATTTAAAAGTAAACTGGAAAGAATAGACTCAATTTTTAATGGTCAAGATTGTTTTGCAAGTTTCCCTGCGGGTTATAACTGCACAATGCCATATTTGTTCTCGAAATTGTGAAAATATTGATACCTACTCAATATTGATTTTCTAGTGATTAAAAATAGAAACCGCATCACTTTCAAAGTTATGAAAGCTAGCCGATGATAGGGATATGAGAAGGTAACAACCTATTGCTGATCATAAGATCATAAAGCATAGCGTTTTTAGGAGCTGATTTTAATCAGATTGGTGTACATTAGATTCTACCTTTCCATTAAAGGTGTTGGATTTACACTGGAAATGCCCAGGGAGGAGACATCCTGATACTGATGTCAAGAAGGAGGAAGACAATAAGGAAGAAAAAGTTACAACACCAGTCAAACAAGAGGAGAAAAAGTGAGTTGTGTATTTAGATGAAAGTTACAATCAATTTAATCAAGTTATGTCCCTTTATCTATTCTAAATAATAATGCTATTACCAAAAAAGACTGAATATTTTTCTTTCACATTCGAAAGAAAAATCATAATTTGTGCTATTTTGCTATTCATCTTGGAGGCATATTTTCGGTCTTTGCCATGGGGCTTATGTTGCCCTGCCTCTGCAGTGCTCTTGTTTTAATTTTATTAACAAATGGTAGATCTGTACATACTGTTACAGCATCAGAATTTATCCATAAGTTCCAACAATACAAATATAGTCAATTCAGCATGACAATGAAAAAATGAGCACAATCACGCTTTAAGGTTTATTAATTTTCAGACCAAGTATTCCGAATGAGTTTGATTTTGACGAGGATGATATGGGGGGAAGTAAAACTGTTATCACACCGAGGAGAACTCCAGGTTTAATTTTCTTCATTATTATTGTGTTAATTTTATTGAGAAATTACAACTTACGTTTTTACCTTGATTATTCCAAAAATAGGGAGAGCAGTTGTGTTGACACAGGCCTTGGCGTCAGCATCACATTTTGGTTAAGTTTTTGCATGCAAGTTGGTATGTCAAAAACTACTGAAGGCAGTTAGTTGAAACTTCACATACATATTTGAGAGCACAACAGGAATATGGATTTTGACAGAATTATTTCTTTTTTAACTGCTTCATTATCCAGCCTCTTTTTTTTTACTATCAAGCACTGATAATTATAGTGGAGGGAGCTGTCCTACCTACAGCTCTTGTTGTAATAGAGAAATTCATGTACTTTTTAGTGCACAAGGTCATTGACATTTCTGAAAAGGTTACCCTTGTATATTTGTTGGAGAACCTGACTTTAAAACAATCCTGTTGCTTGTTAATTTATTTTTTTAAATTAATACATTATGTCTATGTGGATTGGCAAGAATAATGTTTGAACACACCGCTTAACAGGTCTTTCTTTTGACAAATTTTTGGGCTGAAAATATTCCCTTATTGTAATTTTAACTGTCTAATGGCAAATAAATTCTGAATAAAAATAATCAGTAGAGTGATGTGTATGATATTAGTAGGGTATGTTCAGGGTAACTGCAACTGAACAGTGACATTTTTAAGACTAAAATTATCGTCAGTTATGAAACAGATTAGCGTTTGCTGCAAATTTACGAATATATTAATAATAAATTAGATAATTGATACTTGTGTTTGATATCTAAGGACAGGTTAAAAAAAAATTCCCCTTGCATTGACCCTGGCCTATATATGCCAAATCCCAGACAGGGGACAAAATCCTGGGCTCCCGCCTTGGGATCAAATTTCCCTGATTTTCAAAACTTAGGCTCTAGTCTCAAAATGCTTGCAAGAGCCTACATAAACCTACAAAATGTCTGATATGTATAAATGTTTCAGACATTCCGAAAAGTGCAGGCCCGACGAACCTGACCTGTAAAATTACGTTCGGACTGGGAAAAATTCGGTCCGACTGTCCGGTAACAATCTTATGTTGGTTTTGTCGGTAACAATCCGGGAACAAATGACGGCAAATGTACTAACCTATAAATAAAAAGTGATTTGCATAAGTATGTTGTATGATCAGTAAATTTTTTTTAATATTTCTAGGATCTGTCCCCAAGTCACAGAAGAAGGAAGCCAAGATGGACAAGATCCTTAAAGACATGATGCAGCAAAGGAAGCTACAGGCTGCTGAAAGAGAGGCTCGTAAACTGGCCGGGAACAAATCTCCACGGACACCTGCTAGTCCAGGCAGAGCAAGGATAGGTAGCCCGGCTGGTTCTCCTCGGACTCCAAACAGACAATCTCCGGTGAGGATCGGTGCCGGACAATCGGATCAGATCACGACCACTCCTGTTAGACCCCCTTCTGAAACCTTCAGTGCAATTCAACCAGGAAAACTAGACTCTCACAATGTTAGCAATAGCAAAATACATGACAATGGTTTTAATAATTCAAGTTCTGGTATTAAAAATCAAGTGCAGCAGTCTACACCTAGTGTGTCGACAGCTCCATCAAATAATATTGAGACCCAGTCTAAAAATTCAAATTCAGGGGAGGCAACTCCTCAAGCTTCACAAGGTGCTGATCCTTCACAAACAATGCAAAGGGAGGTAACTTCAAATCCACATGCTCCTAGCCAGATTCAGCAAGTTAACCAGCCAATGAAAACAGCTGAAACAAAAGCTGAAAATACTGAAATTAAACCTGAAGCCCCAAATCCTCCTACTGAAAAAATGGATACAAGTTGATAAAAGAAATTAAATAGAAAGAAAACAGTAACAAAACAGTGAAAATCTTCTTGCTTTTTACACAAAAAGTGTCCACAAAATATGTTACTCATGATATATACAGCAAAGGAATAGTTAAAGAAACCCAAATAGCTGTTTTATAAATGTTTAATACAATATACATGCTACATGTATACATATTGCAATTGAATTGCATACAAACTCTAATTGACATATTTGTAATAGAAATCTTATGGGTTATAATAGAAATGAGCATTTTAAACCTGAAAGGCCTAGAAGTCCATTTTTGTATCTTAAAAAATGTTACATTTATTTTTTCAAATGTTTAGATAGTGGATTTAGAGCATGTTAACTGAAGAAAAAAGCGGTAAATGTACACTTATGTGTCATAAAGGCAGCATAATGTAAATAAAGTAGTATTTGACTTCCATACAAATTACTAATTCACTTTGATTATGCAGTTGCCAACAGAGCAAAAGAATCAAAATATAGTTAATCTACAAGTCATGACAAATGAAAAAATTGGGGAACCATTACAAGATACTAAAAATTAAAAAAAAAGTTGAGAAATAAAAATGATAGCATTTCTTAGACAAAATGAGCCTTTAAAACAATTTTTTATTGGATATGTTTAATATTTATTGCCCAAATGCTGAATGATTGAGCAACACTATGAGGTAAATCATGGCTTGTTTGGGAGCAAAAAGCACCATCTTATGATCAGACAGGTACATTTCAAGAGGAAATAATTTTTCCCCTATTGCTCTTTGTTTAAGCAAAGAAAAATTATTATAAAATATTTTGCTGCTTAATTTTGAAAAGGCAGCTTTAAGTGTATAATGAAACTGAATTGTTGTGCAATGAAATATGTGTACAGGACAGTAACTGGACTATGTCTAAATAAAATAAATGAAAGTGCAACAGTATTTGTTTTAAACTGCTTCCGGTCATTTAAGACCACTATTGTATGTTTGTAAGTCTGGTACTTATTAATTTGTTTAATTGCTGTAATATATAGGAAGCAAGGTATGATATTGTGTTATATATTCATATAACCTTATGATTTTTTTTTTATGAAAATACAGGGGTATCCATGGCCAAATGGTTACGGTCATTGACTTCAGTCCACCTGCCCCTCAATTTTGTGGTAGAATTTTTGAATTCTTTCATGAGGATGCAATCCAGTTAGCTTACTAATTGCAGATGGTTCTACTTGTTTGACCGTTTTGGCACCTTAGGTCTTCCCCCACCAGTAAAGCTGGAAAGACGCCATATGACCTTTGTTGGTTTCACCTAATACCAAACAAAAGAATGAAAATAAGATATTTTCAGTTGTAGACTTACAGTGTAAATGTACTTTATTGTCAGCTATTACATAGATATTTTTCCCTTTAACTGCTTGATACTTGGTTATTTACAGTTATTTTCTCACATTACCTGCTTGTTTTCATTCATGTTTTCTTGAATTGGATATTTTGATCATTACCAGAGTTGTTTCCCTTTGACCTGCATATTTAATTGAATTAATAATTTGGTCATTATTAGAGTTCTCTCCCTTTGACTGGCTTGTTTCGTTGAATTAATAAATAAAGTGATTATTGACAAAGTTCTTTCCCTTTGGCCTTCTTGTTTTCTTCTGTATAATTGCAGTACAATTTGATCCTATGATGACTATTTGCTATAACTGTTTGTTTTGATGTTTAAGTGAAGATTATGAGACATTTTATGTTGCTTTTTACAGTGAATAAGAAGTGACTTATTATTATTAACATCATAGCTTAACTGTTCAAATTATGTATGAATGCAGGATGCCATAAAATTAAGTGTTAATTTACTATATGGTAAATATGCTTAGGAACATTTATAAAACATGACACTGTAGATGTGTTCTATTCCTTTTGTGATGAAGAAAGGGAAATGAAAAATAAATGAGTGAATCCAACACTTTAAATTTGTTTTAATTAAATAAAATCATTTATTGATTGTATCTAGAATATTTTTTTCAGCTTATGATAACAGAGCTTTATCACATGCATGTATTGTTTTGCAACATTTCATTTTGTTGTATTTCATTAAATGAGTCGCGTCACGAAAAAACCAACATAATGGGTTTGCGACCAGCATGGATCCAGACCAGCTTGCGCATCCGTGCAGTCTGATCAGAATCCATGCTGTTCGCTACAAGTAGAACAACTGATAGCGAACAGCATGGATCCTGAACAGACTGCGCGGATGCGCAAGCTGGTCTAGATCCATGCTGGTTGCAAACTTATTATGTTGGTTTTGTCTTGACGCGGCTCAAATGTAACATAGAAACAAATTGCATTAAAATTTATAGACAGGACTGAGAAGAACTCTATGCTTTTATTGATCTCTTCTCACTCCTGTAGGCACAAGTATTTTGTAAAATTAGGTAGATGTTAAATAGATAATAAATGTATAACAATTTGAAAATTGTTGGGAATTATCTGATTATTTGTATTTCAGTGTTTCAGTTTGGTTTCATTATCTTTATAGATCTCTTGAAATAATAAAGCCTAAAATACATGTTTTTGTCTCAGGTGAGTGATCTAAAGTCATCATGACCGTCTTGTTTTATATATAAACCCATCTGAAAGACTTCTCTTACTTGAAAGAAGTGTGAACGTATGAAGTATGAATATCAAGATCTAATATATAAACTTGTACACATTAAAGTTGAAAGTTTACAAACATACAGGTTTCATTATTTCCAGCATTGACATGACATTGTCTGTTGTCTTTAATACTATCCTTTCAAATAACTCCTCTGATATCATATGACTATTTGGTGGGGCATGCATGCACTGTTTATTTGGATAAAACTATTACAAAGTTGTTGAAATGGTTGAATGAGTCCTTTAACGTAAGTGCCATATAAAATCATACAAAATATTTTATCAAAAGTAATACAGCCAAGAATCCCAAGATTGTTGTTGTGTTGCATTTTCTACTGAATTAGTGTAGGTATATTTAGTATCAAAATTGGTTGACCCCAGCACACTTGTTATATTGACCTGAAAGAGAAACTAGCTTTAAAAACTTTTTGCTGCAAAGAACTAAAATATTTGGTAATTATCATAACCATGTGAATTTGTACAAGTTATGTAAATCGAATCCCTTCAGGGTGTCTAAATTGAATAGGCTGATAAAGGTTTATCATTTAAATCCAATTATCTGGAATTTAAAATTGCCCTATACATGCGATATTTGCCATATTGCTGTGCCTAGTTAACCTCTTCAAAGGTTCTATAACTTTTCCCCTGGGTCAAAAATAGTCTTGGCAATTTGTCAAAGGTGAGCGATCTAATGTCATCATAGCCGTCTTGTTTATATATATATATATATATATATATATATATATATATATATATATTATATATATATATATATATATATATATATATATATATATATATATATAAAGCCGTCTAAAAGACTTCCCTTGTTTAAAATCAGTGTAAACTCGGTTAAAATGGACTTGACACAACTATACGAATATCTAATATATGAGCCGTGTCATGACAAAACCAACGTAGTGCGTTTGCGACCAGCATCGATCCAGACCAGCCTGCGCATCCGGATCCATGCTGTTCGCTATCAGTTTTTCTTCTTGTTATAGATTTTGGTTAGCGAACAGCATGGATCCTGATCAGACAGCGCGGATGCGCAGACTGGTCGGGATCCATGCTGGTCGCAAACGCCCTATGTTGGTTTTGTCGTGACACGGCTCAAATATTTTTACACATAATTCGTTAGTACTTTGTTTCAAGGGGAGCAGTGGTTAAAGTGTCTGCCTCTCAATACAGAGATCATGGGATTGAGCCCTAATAGGGTCACAACCATGTATCTTCATACGCCACCCGTTCTGGTTGGAAGCGAACATGAAAGTGATTAATATAAGTTACAAGAACTTGTTTCGCAATCGAGCTCAAATAAATAAGTTTTAACATCGAGGGAGACAACTGAGCCCAACAATGTCTTTAAATCATGCACACGAGTATTATCCCCTTACATAAAGTGAAAATCGTCAAACACGTTTCAAATCGGCAAAAAAATTATCAATCTTTGTTCTGAATTGTATTCCAGGCATTTTCAAATGTCATAAATAAATTTATATGTGTGTATGAAGTACATCTGAAGTTGACAATTTATTTTACATTAAAAGACACATTATGCGTCAGAAATAAAACATGAATTTTATAATGATTGAATAATGTTTTTAAAAGTGTCGGATGCTTATTACCTGTCAAAGTGAAATAATTTGAGCCGCGTCACGACAAAACCAACATAGTGCGTTTGCGACCAGCATGGATCCTGATCAGACTGCGCGGATGCGCAGACTGGTCTGGGTCCATGTTGGTCGCAAAAGCACTATGTTGATTTTGTCGTGTCGCGGCCCATTTGTCATACAAGTATTACGTGACACTTCATCGAATATATAACTTCACTGGTCCGTGAGGTGTAGTGTATTGGTATAAATGTCGGACTACTGATCTGGAGGTCTCTGGTTCGATTTTTTTTACCAACACCACGTTATGATTATTTTTTTTAATTCACTTGCAATAATTTATTTGAAATCGTTTAATTACACCTAGTTTTAGAAAACCTTTTTAAGTGGTGTTTTTATACACAACTATATTTTTTATTTCGTTACAGTATCTTTCAACTGTTCTCTTTGGACATTATGCAATCGTATATATATTAGCGCATACACGCTATGAAGGCAGTTATTAAAAATACTAATTCTGATAGGACACACAAGTAAAATATTTGACATAGCTTTAATAGAATGGCAATTTAAAAATTAAAAGAAAAAAATAAGTTACTGATATATGATTCGGACCTTCCAGTTTACGTCTTCATTCTGCAAGTGAAACCCTTTACCAACTGCGTAAGGAGGGATTATGAATTTACACCATTTTAATAATTGGATATTTTACATTCATATCGATTTACAGGTAGATCGTAACGTTTACGGAATTTACCAACTTCTGGGCAAATACAAGA